GGGAGAGAGGGAGAGGTAATGGTGGAAAGTGAGGAATAAAAAAAAGTTGACGAAAATTATTTTTTTTTTTTTAAATTTAATTTTATCATGGAGTCTTGTTATTTGTCTCAGGTGTGAAATTTTGATGAAGCGATTAAAAATCTAACATAGATACGTGTCGTGTCACTAGAAAATAATAATAATCACTATTATTATTACTTCCGAACGAGGTTATCGATTTTACACGTTCGCGACATGGAATTCTTTAAAACAATCGTAAATTATTAAAATTATTATTATTATTTTTCCGTGACAAAATCCGAAATTATTAATCGTCACTTCCTTTGCACTGGTTAACCATATCCGGTTTTTATTATTTTACCTCTTCCCCTACACCTCCTCAAAAAAAAAAATCGAACGATATTTCAGATCGAAAAATTTCTCTTTCCCTCTCTTTCACTTTTTTTTAACGTGTCAAAAGAATTAATTAATCATTATAGTCGTAATAGTATAGTTATTCTTCTGCCACGATAAGAGAAAAAAAAATTATAACGCCATAAACGAATTTATAATTATGCACCCATATATTTGATTTCAATCGTAAGTTTAAAAAAAATGAATTTAAAATTTTTAAATTTGCGCGCGAAAAAAAATGAAGAGAAAAGTTATAAGAGATAAGTAAGGAGTAGGGGAAAAGGGAAGAGGGGAAAGAGAGAGGGGGAATCGCATTCAAAATCCGTTATTCGATTTCAAACTAATAAAAATAATAAAATGAAAAACTAAAAATTTTCCTTTGTCGAAACACCTTTGAAAATTCGAAATATATATTTTTTTTTTCCGATTGATTAAATTACGTAACTTTTTAAATAATTCCTTTGAAAATAATCTTTTAAGAAATTAAATTTATTTAATTTCAAAAAATAAAAATATTTACGCACGCACGTGCATAATCAAATCAAATATGGCGCCATTTTTATTAACCGGCGAACGTTATTCGTTAAGAGAGCGTGCGCGCGGAAATCATTTCATTTTCGCTATAATTAATTTGCTCGTTTTTTTTGCAATTTTTTTGCGACGATTTGTAATTTTTTTTTTTTTTTTGACGTATTCGGGTTGTTGAGTTTTTTTTTTCATTTCAACAAGTACTTTAAAAAAAAATTTCCATTTCAATTATTATTAACGATAGCAAAAGTATAACGCAGATTTTTTACAATTTTATAAAAATCTATTTAAAATAATAATGATAATAATAATAATGAAATTTTGTCATCGATATATCCTTAACTCGACATTTGTTTTGTTTTTTTTAAACCGGAAGAAGACGATTTCGAAAAGGTTAATGACCCCATTTTTAATCTGAGAAAATTAACAAATCGCATTATTATTATTATTATTGTTTGGAAAAATTGCAGACGACGGAAGGAAAACGTTTGTTTTTTCAATAAATTTCGATTGATGAAAAAAATCTTTTGTTTGTATTTTTCGAATGATGTTTCGAACATGAAAATAATGCAATGATAATAATAATAATAATGAGATTTTGATGGTGTGAAGTCGAACGTTGCCGAACGTCACCGAACGTCTCCGAACGTTTAATTGAACCTAACGAGAAAATTAAATTTTTGTTCGAAATAAACAAAGAAAATGAATTAATGATGTTAGTCGTTGGTGACTAAGGATTCTCTCTTATTATATAAATCATTTAACGTCACGGAAGATGTAAATGAGGGTAAAAATAAACCGGAAACGGATATATTAATTATCTTCGCACTTCCCTACTCTCTTTCCCTCCCCCAACAACTGAATAAAATTAAAAATTTTCGAGTTTTAAAAACATTTCGAGATTTTACGGACTCTTTGAAAAAAAAAAATTTTTTTACATTGAAGTGAAGGTGATGAAAATTTTAGAATTTTTGTATCACGTGACTTTAATTTAAGAGGTACCGGATGATGTTTTCGAACTTCCGTTAAATTATTTCAAATAAAAATTCTAGAATTTTCTTGCATTCGTGGAATTTAAACGTACCGGCGGTAAAATTCGATGATTCCGGGGATTCGATTTTTAAATTTTTTTTTATTTTATTTTAATTGATTTTAATTTTGATTTCCGGTTATTCGATTCTAATGTTTGGTTTCCGGTAGGATTTTTGAAAGGGGGCAGAGATGGCAAAGAAGGGGGGAAGAGAGAGAGAAGAATATAAAGAAGAGTTTTGAAAAAAAAAATTGGAAAAATTTTTACAAATCCTTGTTCGTAGTAATTTAATTTAAAAAAAAAAAAAACAGGGGTACCAACATTGAAATCATAAATTTTATTTTTAAAAATATATATATGTTTATACGTATTTGAAATTTAATGATGAAGTAAAAAAAAATTTACATATATAAAATTTAATGATGAACACTTGAAAATCTCATATAATGGAAAATCGTATTGAAATGAAAAAAAAATAAATTTTTTTCTTTTTTTACCAAGAGAGAGAGAGAGAGAGAGAGAGAGAAGCAAGAATAAATTGTAAACATAAAGAGAGAGAGAGAGAATTAAAAAAGAAAGAGAATTATCACACACGCACACACAGAGAAAAAGAAAGAGAGAAGACAATTGAGATTTTTTTTTTACACAAACGTAAATATCAGATTACAGATTTAAAAAACTTTATTAAAATCAGTCGGACGTTAAAATAAAAAAAAAAAAAAAAGAATTCCTTATTACGTCACTGATTAAAATTAATTATTTAAAAAAAAAACAAAACAAACAAAACGAAACGAGGAAAAAAAAAGAGGAAAATTTTTTTTTTTTAGAGCGTAAGCGCGAATAATAATTTTCTCATTCGTTCTGGAATGTTCTGGAAAAAAAAACAATTTTTTTTTTCGTAACGTTGGTAATGATAATAATAATAATAATAATAATAATTAATTTGATTTTAATAAAACGATTTTTTTTTAATTTCCCCCTGGAAAATTTTTTTTTTTTTTTGAATGCAATTTTTTTTTTCTCCAGTTCATGGAAACTTTAAATAAATTTTTGTTATTATTATTATCATTCGATGAAATGAACGAGAAAACGTTTCGAATATTATTATTATTATTATTATTATTATTATTATTATTATTATTATTATTATTATTATTATTATTATTATTATAACGTCCAAGATTTTTCGTTTTTGAAAAAGTTTTCTTCTCGTTTTATTATTTTGATTCATTTTTCATTAGGGGTCAATCAAGAATTCCAGTTAGTTCCAAAATTTTGATTCGGGTTCGATTCTTTTGTACAAACAACAACAACAACAACCAAAAAAAAAAATTTTTCTTTCCTCAACAACCAAACGAAATTTTAACGAAGTTTGTTTTTGAAAAAAGAAAAAAAAAATTTTCTCGGGAATCTGCTTTTGAACAAGATTCTATTTCCGTTTTAATTTTCCATCGTTATTTTTTATCCTTTTTTCTCTTCGTTATTATTTTGTTTGTTGTTGTTAATCGCCATCAACAAGAACAAACAAACTTTTCAAAGGGTTGTTTCTTTTCACAAAACAATTTTATAATTAATTTTTCTTTTTGTTTTGGAAAATGACAGAATCAAACTGACCCGGTCGGAAATATCAAATTTTAAGGATTTTGTAAATTTTCATCTGGATTTTTCCAAAAAAATCTTTTCCTCTTTATTTTTGTTGTTTTTTTTTAACAAACAACAATCAAATCTCTCTCTTGAAATGCTTCCTTTGTTTGTTTTTGACTACTGGAATTTATTTTTTTTTCAAACTCACATCGTCACGCGTAATCGTTTTTCAAAAATTTTCTCTCGTTTCCGCTTTCCCTCCCTCCAACTCCTTCCTCCATTCCCGAAAAAAAATATTCCAACCTATTAAACAAATTGTAAAACGACAATTTCCATAAAAGTGTTTCGTGACCTGTAAAACCTGCGGAGTCCACCTGGAAAGAAAAAAAAAAGCAGTAAACGCATAACACACACAATTTTACAGTTATGTTTAACCTGAGGATGAACGTTTTATAATTTTGTTGCGATTTTATCATACGAAAAAGTTTTTTTTTTTCTCGTTCCGACTATAAATTTAATTATTATTATTATTAAATTATAGTTTTACGACTATATAAAAAACGCGCTATATTAAATACATAGAAAATAAAATTTAAATATTGTTATTTAAAAAAAAAAAAACCCGCACAAAGTATTTGTAAAATTTGAAATCGATGGGCTATAATTTTTTTTCTTTTTAAATTTTTATAGCAATTATAGTAATTATTTAAAACGGAAAAAATAGTGTCAAGCTATAAAATTAAACGTTTTTTTTTTTAATGGAGAGAAGAAAAGAAAACGCAGAGAAGAAAAATTTGTAGGGTTTAAAAAATAAAATATAGCAAAAAATAAAAAAAATTTAAAACGAGTTTATAGCACAAGAAATTCGCGCTATAAATTTAATTTAATTATTTTTTTTATAGTCGAAAAAAAAACTGGATAAAATTTTCTCTCGATTGCGTTTTTTTTTGTAAACGCTATAAATTTTTTTTTGTTAAAATTAATATATACATGAAGCGTTTAAAATTTTTTTTTATAGTCTATAAAAGGTACGCCAAATAGAACGATGATAAAAATGATGATTTAAAGTTTCCATAATTTTCGTATATCAATAAAAAATAAATAACTCGCGCTATAATTTTTATTCGAATCACGTTTTATAATTATTTTATTTAAAAAAATTTTTTTTTATTATAGCGCTATAAAAATTATTATTATTATTTAAAAGTGATCGTTTCGCGATAAATTATTAATTATGATAATAATAATAATAATAATAATAATAATAATTGATAACAAACGCAGATGTGGCGAATTTTATAGCGGCGTCAAACATTTTCTATATTTTGATATAAATAAAAAAAAATCCGCGATCTGTGACGTTTACCTGGAATATGGCGACGGCAAATTTTTTTCGTTTTGTGGTTTTATCACGTGGTATCACTGATAAATGTTATCAGCAAAATTATATTAATAATAATTATTAATGATTACAGCTTTCGGATTTCAAAATTTGATGGTGCCAGTCATGATAGGTTTTCAAATAGTCAAATCACTTTTGTTTGCCATGTTTTTACCAAGCGTTTTGGGTAATTTGGGTAGATTCGTCGGCGAGGGTGTCAAATTTCTCTCGTCATCTCAACAATTCAGGCATCCTGGAGAAATCGATAACGGCAACGTTGGACAAATGGAAGATTTCGAATTCAAGGTATAATACTCGCGTTTTAAAAAAAAAAAAAAATTATTAAATAAATAATTTCATTGAGAAATTTTTTTTAAAATTCACAGGATGTGAACAACAATTACGATCAACAATATGCTGACGGACAAACGGATGGTTCGGCTCCTGTATATTCCTATGCTGCATATCCGAATAATTACGATTATAATAAAGGGGAACAATCAGGAGCGTATTCATCCGTCGCAAGCAGGTAATATATTATTTATGTCTTTTACCCACGACGACCCATTTTTTCTTCTGTCTAATTCCACGTTTTTTTTCCTAATTCCACAAAATTCAATTTGTATGAACGTATTTATTTACTCACGCTGAATTCCCTGTTAGTTTTAAATTAATACTCTCATCAACATAAAAAATCATTTCCATCGGTTCATGTATTCATTCCTTTTTTTTTTATTTTAATGAAAAAAATCTTTTTCCGTTCGTAAATGATCGGTTACGTTCGAACGAACGCTTCCTAATAAAAAAAAAAAAATCCTTTCCGGTCATTATTAAATATTAATTTTTAATTTATTATCGATTGATAATTAAAGGTTGAGGTCAAATAGAGAGAGAGAGTGTGTGTGTGTGTGGGGGAGGTTTAAAAAAAAAAAAATTTAATTAAAAAGGATTTTTTTTCTAGGTTCACGACAGGAGCTCATAAGTTAAATTACATTCCTAATAATAATCATCATGGAAGTTTTTATACTAAATACACGGACAAACATGGAAAACGGCAAAATTTCAAGGTAAAATTATAATTTTCCGAAAAAAGTTAAAAATTCCCGCGGCTTCCTTCCTCCCTTCTCCCTACTTTCCTTTCCTTCCCCTCCCCCGACGGCTTATTACCGACGCATTAAAATATTTTCTTCTGCTTTTTTTTTTTTTTTACGCCCTCGCGCGCGCGCGCGTGTGTTTGTGTCACGCATAATTTTATGGTTAAATGATTCTCACGTAGAATCGTGGCACCAGTTTTTCTTTTTTAAATGATAATAATAATAAATGACACGTTTTTTTTTCACTCACGGTTATTATTATTATTGCAATATAATTTTATTTAATTTCATTCCGGAGATTTAATTTACAAAATTTAAAAAAAAAATTTTCCGTGCTTTTTTTGATTTTTCTCTCTCGAATATTTCTTTTTTTTTTTTTTTTTAGAACAATCGAACGGACAAACGTTCGGACGTTCGAATTGTTAAAAAAAAAATCTGACGTTAATTCTACGAAAAAAAATAAGTAAATAAATAAGAAAGGAAAAATTTTTTTTTCCCAACCTTTAAACTGTCAATTTATAAAAAGTGACGGAAAACGTTGTTACGAAAAAAAATTTTAATAATAATATTATTGACGAACCTTTTCTTTTTTTTGAATGGAAGAAGGTTAAAAAAAAAAGGAAGAGAGAAAGGATGAATGAATAAATGAATGAGAATAAAGGACTTTCTTTTCTTATGACAATGAATAGAATTTTTTTTTTTTTGGAAAATTTTTAAATGAAAGTAAATTAAATTACCAAGCGGAGATGTCAAATTGACTTTTTTATTTTTCCAGGTTTTCCATAATATTCCATCGTCTTCTTTACTTTTGACGAATTACGATCCTTTTTACAGTCCTTTACTGTCTAGAATGGACAGCGTTTTCAAACAATTAAACTACGAATCCGAATCGTGCAGAGAAAAATTAATTTGTTTGATGTATAAAAATCCGGCGAAATTCGCACCCTATAGTAATTTAATATCGGCTCAATTAAGCAGGTAAATAAATTTTTTAAATCCGCCATTTTTTTTTAATTACGTCACACGCAAAAATCAAATAATAATAATAATAATTTTTTTTTTCAAATAGGGAATTGAACGAATTGAGAAAACCATCGACGGATAATCCGGATATATTGAGATTTTTTAAATATATGAAAGCAGCTAAAGACGGTCAAGATGGTCTAGAATGTTCTAAAACATATTCCGGATGTACGGATAATAGAGAATCGATAAGTTCTCCCATGGTTAAAACGTACAACGACATAAATAAATTGGTACACGCGAGAAAATTATTTTCTTAGTCACTTAGACTTTTTTTGCATCTGGTCAGAAATGCCCCCCGCCCCCACGAACTCTTTCTCCGCCTCCCCCTTGAAAAAAAATTGATTATTTTCTCGCGGAGGAAGCGTAAAAAAAAAAAAACGAACGGAAGGAGGAAAATAAAAATAAAAAATACTTTTTGAACGACCCTCGACTGTAAATTTTCCACGAGTGAAATCCGAACGAACGTTTCTTGCTTTTGAACTTTCGTACAATTTATACGCCGCGATTTCTTTTTTAAATTTTTTTTCTTTCCTTTTATTTTTTTCCTTTTATTTCCTTTTCCTTTTATTATTTTAATGCGAAAAAAAGGAATGAAAATAAAAAACCTTTGTAACGAGGAAGGGGGAGGAGGGAATCTTTGAAAGGAAATTTTTTCCCTTTGTTACAATAATTTTTCTCATTTTGACCTTTATTTGTCAATTTCCATTGTGTCCCGTATAAATTTTCCATTGTTTTTCACGATAATAATAATAATAATTTTCACGTTTTTTTTTGGAAGTTCTGTCCTACCGAATTAATGTTAATAATAATGATAATAAATTGAAAAATAATATTTTTTTTTAATGACGTCAAGCGAAAAGAAATTTTTTTTATTTACGCGGCGTAAACGTGGAATTAATTTTTTAAAATATCGAGTGTCGTTGATTTTTTATTTGAAAACAGGGGGGGGGGGAATTTTTTTTTTTTTTTAATATTAAAAATTAATAATTTAAACCTTAAGGTGTTTGTAACGAACTGCCACCGCCACCCCCTCCATCACCATCACCACCACCCTCGCCGATCTTTTCTATATACCCGATAAAAATTTTTTTTTTTTTTCAAGTAAATAAAATATTTTTAAAAAAAAACGCGAGGACTCGAGCACATTTCGATGATTTCTTTTTTCGTTTTTTCTTCGTATCCTCTGCCCGCTCTCTCGGAAAATAAAAAACCGTTTTTCTAATTCCACGATCAAAAAAAAAAAAAAAAAAAAACAAAAAAATTCCCCTTATTATTTCGTTTTTTTTGTTGTTTTAAAAAATTAAAAAAAAAAAAAAATTAATAAGTAAAACGATATTTTATGACGGGAATAACAAAAAGAAAAAATCTTTTTTTTGTTTCAACGAATGTTTCATTTCCGCTTCCGTTTTTTCATTTTCTTCTTCCTCCTTTGTTTTGTTTTGTTCGTCAGTAAAAAAAAACAAAAACAATCAAAAAAAAAAAAAAAAGACGTTAATAGCATTTAAATAATTTATTTATTTATTTTTGTTGTATTTATTAGATCGTTATTGATAATAATAATTATTTATTTATTTATTTATTTTTTACGTATAAATTATGTATACATATGAAAAAAAAATTATAGTAAAATTTTTGCTATAAAAACACAGACACAAAAAAAAATTATTTTTAATTTTTTTTAAATACCCTTTTTCAAAAAATTTCATTTATATTATTATTATTATTATTATTTGACCAGATGTATATATAGAGTCGCTATAACTATATAAAAAATTATAGTCGCTCTATAAAAAAATATTTACTATAAAAAAAAATTTTTTTTAATTTTGATTTAAAAAAATTTTTTTTTTTGTTCATTCGATAATTACATAGTCTGCTATATATTTTTATGGGCTATAAAAATTATAGCTTTAGATAAAAAAACATCTCAATTAGATAACGTGCGCTATAAAATAACCGCTATATACGTATTTTTAATAAATAAATATATGTATTTTTTTCCAGTCTGAATGAGGTAAAAATTAATACATAAAATTTTTTTTTCTGAATCGAATTTCAGTTAAAAGTACTACATTCATACACGTCTGGAATATTTTATTTAAAAAAAGAATTTAATTTAATTATTATTATTTCCGGTCGAACAATTATTATCTATTTCCGGTTCGATTATTTTAATATAATTTTATTATGCGGTAAATATATAATTTATTGTCGTTGACAAATTTATTATTATTAACAATCGGGTTTTGGTTTTTCGTTTTTTTTATTAAAAAATTTTTTATAGAGTGTGAAAATCAATTGATTTGGAAAAAATAAAACAAACAAATAAACAAACAAACAAACAAACATACAATCAGTAGGAAACGTAAAAAAAAAATATAAAAAACGATGCGTCGGAAATAAATTATATTTGTTTATATAAAATAAATGTTTTCTCGCGTATAAGGGAAAAAAAAATAAAAAATTTTTTCCTCGAACGTTCCAGAATTTTCCTTCTTCCCCTTCCTCCCTTCCCTCCCCTTCATCCCCCTCTCCCTTCTCCCTTTCAACTCTTGATATCTCATTCTGGAAAATGTTTTGACGCGGCGTCGTAATAGAATTAAATCTTATTAATGATAACATTAACGACGGGAAAAAAAAATTTTTTTTTACGACCGAACGATCAGCCAATCAGAAAAAAGAATTTATTAAAAACGTTTTCTAATGGGTCTAATTATATTTAACATAAGAAAAAAATTATTTTACAACGAACTTTTCGTAATTTTTCATTTTTTATTATCAGTAAAAAAAAAATAAATGAATTGATAAGAAAATGACGTGTCAGAAGATGAAAATATGTATTCGAAATAAATAAATGAAATGAATTTGTTTGTTTTAAAAAAAAAATAAAAAAAATAAAAATTGAATTTTGGCGCGCTTGCGTTTTCGAGTTCGTGTTCTTGCGTACTTGTTGCGTTTGTTTGCGTTTGTTTGTTTTTGTTGCGTGTGTACATCACATCACAACCATGTCGTCTGATCATTTGTTAGTAATTTAATTTAAAATCACTGGAAATGTTTTTTTTTTTTTTTTAATTTCCTTTTATCGATAAAAAAATTTCTAAGGATTTATATATATATATATATATATATATATATATATATATATATATATATATATATAAATTTTTATTTGTTCGATTCCAGTTTAGGTTTTTTTTTCTTTTCCAGAAATCTGGAATCTTAAATTTTTTACTTATTAAAATATCACGAAAGAATATAAAATAAAATGAATTTTTCTAGAAATTTATTTCTTTTTTGGTTTTAATTGTAAAAAAAAAAATAAATTAAATTATTAAAAGGTTTCTTTTTTGATGCGCACGCACACGCACTTTTTTTATGGAAAAAAAAAAATAATTAACTGGAACAAAAGCGAAGAAGGAAGAGGGAGGGGAATGAAAACGTTAACGTCTGGTACAAGCCGGGAGTGGTGGTGTACTCCTGTAATCCAACTACTTGGAGGCTAGGTATAGAGGATGTTTTAAGGGGGCGGAGATTCTGGAATTGGATTTCCCCCTTTGACTTGACGTCTGCTAGGGGTAAATCATCAACTTGGTGAACCCGAGATAGCCAGGTTGAGTCCGAAAAGAAGAAAAATCGACCCAAAAGTCACCAAGTTCAAATCTCGGGAGTGGGAATTCAATTTCAGCTCGTCCAAACAAGAACAGACCTGTACCTATATGAAGGAGATATGTGATCTAGCACGCTTTCGAGGCATTGGGGATGCGCCAACCCTTATTCCGCGGGAGCGCGTCTGGGTACTTGATTCACAAAGGAGAAAATGCGGAGCTGCGACGTGAAAGAGAACATCTCTCTCTCTCTCTCTGGAAATTCGTAGACTCTACGGAAGAGGATGGAACGAAGGAAACAGCTGGGGACTATCTCTTGAAAGGTAAAAATGGGAAGTACGGGGATCTTATGTAGAAAATGGATGGGATTCCTACTTTTGCGAGTGTGGACCTGATGATTCTGGCTCAGGAGGCGTGTTGAGGCTGAAACGTAGGTTAAGTACTCTTGCGGGCACTCCTCCCTCCAGGAAAAAGATCACGTTAAACACATCCAGAAGTTTTAGTTTTGTAGTGGCTTCGTCTGACTCCCAAGGTGGAAAGGTAAGTGCAAAATGCATTTCTTTTATGTTATTAAAAAAAGGAATGGTATAAATCATGTAAAAATAAATATTATTATTATTATTACATGAAAAGTACAGTAAAGTGTAATTACTTAAAAAAGAATTTAAAGAAAGATTCGTCTAAAACCACGACAGTTAAATTCACGTTTTACCATATTTTTTAAAAAAAAGTTAATTATTTTTATCATCATTATTTTAAATTGTTTTTTTTTTTTTTTTTGGATGTAAAAATTATTTTAATTCTTTTGAATTCATTTGTTCTTTCCAGAAGGTTCTCTAGTAGTTTGTAGGTCAAATATCAAAGTTCATTTATAACAACGCGACGGAAAATCTTTTTAGATAAAAAAAAAAAGAAAATTTTTTCAAACTGTCGGAATTTTCATGTTTTGCGGTTAGTTAAAATTCCAGTTTCCGGTTTTATTTTCATTTGTTTATTTAAATTACAAACATCCGAAAAAATCTCCCTTAAGACCAACAGGATCTGTCTCCTCCCCTTCCCCTCCCTCTTTTCCCTCCCCCGTAATTTTTTTGTGTGAAAGAATTGCTTGAAATTTAAATTTACAAATTTTTACCGGTTTTTATTTTCCCGGAAACGTTTCCGGAAATACTCATCGGACAATAACAGTTAATAAGTAACGGATTAAGGAAAAGGAAATCAAATTTCCGTTTCTTAGATATTTACCGGAAATTCGGAAGTGTCGTAATTAAAAAATCGATAATAAAAAAAGAAAAGAAAACGGAAATAAATGTCAAAATCGAGTGAAAGTTTAAATAAATAATAATAAAAAAGCCTCGTGAAATTTTTAACTTCCGGTTTTTAAATAAAAAAACAAACAAGCAGAAAAAAAAGTCGTGTGATAAGATTTTTTTTTTTTTCGACACCTACTATCACGCGATTATTAAAGTCGTCACGAACGTAAAAAAAGAATTATACGAAATCAGTGGCGGAATAAGAAAATCAAAACGTCACATCGAATAAAGATGACCCACCCGAAATAAATAGAAAAAAAAAAAAAGGGTTATGAAAGTGACATACGTATCCTTTTCCTCTCTCTCTCTCTTTTTTTCGACCGCAATACGATGAATTATTTAAAATTCCGATGAATTTTAGTGCCACGTCATAATGAAAAAAATAATAATAATATTATCAACTTTTGATAATTCGTTGAAATAAATGATATAAAAAATTTTTTTTAATGACTTTCACTTTCGCAAAAAATTTTTTTTTTTTTATTTTTTTCACGTTTGTTGTTTGTTGTTGTTGTTGCAAAAGTTACCGAACGGAATTTTATGACTAACGTAAAACAAATTTCAAAACTGGTTTTTTATTTTTTTTTTCAAAGGTCTGTGTCAACGACTTTTACGTACAACAACAAAAAAAAAATTCGTAACGAGTTTATACGCACGACGTGGCACAAGTAAAGCACCTTCGTTATAATAATAACGCTCTTATGACGATAATGATGATGATGATTATAATGATGGTGATGTTGATGATGGTAGAAATGTAGGTGATGGCAACGTTCGAGAAAACGTTTCGAAAAATAGAAAAAAAAAAAGTCGCCTTTTTTAAAAATTTTTTATCATTCCTCCGATACGAATTTTTTTTTCTGCTTCCACGATTCAAAAAAAAAAAAACAAAACGAAAACATTTCTCTCCGCCGTTTGAAATTAATTTCGAAATAAAAAAAATTTTTTTTTTAAGAGCAATACAAAAACGTATCAATACTAAAACCACGACACTTATAATAATAATAATAATAATAATAATAATAAAAACAAAAACGCGCGCGTGTGTGACGTCAAATTACTGTTATTTAAAAATTTAAATAATTTGTTTAAAAAAAAAAAATAAAACTAACTGTAAATAATTTATTAAACAAACGACAATCACTGCTTTTTTTGGTTTTTAACTCATCCACTCCAAAAAAAAAAAGGAGACCGAAATGAAATTGAAAAAACCCAACAAAACTTATTAAAAAAAACCGATTATTGTTTATTTGTCCTATTGACACGATTAATAATAATAATAATAAAAAAGAATTATTAATCATTCTAAACTCGTGTGCAAACGAAATGAAACGAAACAAAAAAAAAAAAAAGTTCCGGATAAAGAATTGTTAACTACGATGACGATGACGACGACGACGACGACGACGATGATAATGATGATAATAATGATGATGATGATGATGATAATTGTGAATGTGAAATCCGGTTCGGGGGATTCCGAATGAAGAAAAAAAAGAAAAAGTTATGTAAAATAGAAGGGGATTATGTAACCCCTGGAATACCCCAAAAATATTATATAAAAAAAAAAGTGAGGTAGTTAATTGACCGGGAAAACAAACAACGAGTTCTCTCGTTTGTCGTTGTTGTCGTCGTCTTGTTTGTTCTCTACCGCAACGAATCTTTAATGTTTTACGAATTCAAAAATCGAAAATTTCAAAAGTGTGCAAAGGTTTTTAAAAAAAATGCAAAGGTTTCGATTTGAAAAACAAACAAACAAAAGTTTAAAAAACAACAACCGATGACGTCATTGGTCGATCGATTGATTTTTTAAAGGGGAAAGAAAAAAACCTCCTTAAAATCATAATTTTAAATTTTGTTTTTATTATTTAAAAAAAAAAAAACAGTTAGAACTCCCCCAAAAAAATTTTTTTTTTCGTTTGTTTGTTTGTTTGTTTGTAGTTTTATCTCTCTCTCTCTTTCTTTCTCTCTCTCCCACGATTTAATTCAACGGAAAAAAAGAAAAAAATTAATTAAACAATAGAACAACAATACAGATAGAACGTGTTTAAAAAAAATATTTGGTAAAAATTATAACGCGTGGCAAGGAGTAAGTAACGAAAAACAAACGAAAAAAAGCAATCGAACAAACGATATCGAAACAAACGACAAACGAACGGACGAATTTGTTTTTTATTTTTATTTTTAACATGTAAAAAATAAGAGAAATTATGAATTTACTATTTAAAAGATGAATTGAAAGTGAAATGGCGTAGTTAGTAATAAAGTCGGAGGAGGTGCGGCGGCGGTTTTTAGTTAATAATTTCATTTCATTTTATTTATTTATTTTTTTAGTAAGTAGTAGTTTTAGTTATACTTTTAGTTTTAATTTTACTAAATTCTTCTTTTTTTTTAATTTTTTTTTACCGCTAAAATTTTTTTAAATAATAAATCGTCCCAACCATTTTTTTTAATAACCGGTAAAAAAAAAATTCAATTTTTCGGACATTTTTTTTTTTGGGCGTTAAAATTTTTTTTTTTTATTATTACGGGGGACCGCGAATCGTAGCAACAGGTAGTAAATATCCTCTAGTATTTTCTTAACAAAAAAAAAGAGGCGCAGACAATAGAATTCGACACTAATTCGAGGAGAAGAAGAGCTCAACCACCGCCAGTCAGTAACTCGAGTGCAAATACCAATGTTGTCGTCATACAAACAAATTTTTTTTTTTTTTCGTTTTTATTATTTATATTATTATTATTATTAACGTAACCGTCGTTTGTGTCGAATGAACGAATATTGTTTAATTATATAAAAAAATTTTTAACGGTTTCGCTGAGAAAAATAAAATTTTTTTTTTTTTTTAAATTAAATTATAGGATTCGGTCGGATATAAATACATAAAATAAAAATGAATACCATCATCGTCACAACCGTTAAACTATTATTATTATTATTAACAACGTACGCGTACCTGATCCTAGCGGAGAATGTTGGTACTATTAATAATAATAATGATCAAACAGTTTATACGAACCTGACCGAAACGGATTGGAAAGCGTATTTTTTTGGCAATGCGACGACAGATAGCGATGAAGTCACCAACAACAACAACAATAGAGAAGGAAGAAATCGAAAGGGAAAAGATTTTTTCGATTTTATAGGTTTTGGAACGGGACCGGAAACGGATCCATATTTGGCACGTGCCAACGATTTATGTTTATCCGGTGATTTATCAGAATGTTTTAAATCAAGAGCTCTCTCATCACTCGATGATTTTTTCACTAGAGAAGGTAATTTTCCAAACGCGACCTTTTTCCGTTGATTGCCGAATTCTTATACTGATAATTATTATTATTATTTTAGGTTATTACGTCACTGATAACGTGAGAGTCATACGTATGCCGGAAGAACAACTCAGACGTTTGACACAAGAATCCTACGAATATTCATCGGCACCGAGAAGCGATGAAACCGAATGGGAACAATTTGTTAAATTTCTTTTGAGAAAAGTCGAAAAATTTGTTAAATCGACAGCGCTGGAAGTTAAAGTACCCGAAGAATTAACTGATGGAGGAAGATACTCGCCGAGATTCGTCGATGAAATAGCATCGGAATTGGATGTTATTGAAGATAAAAAAGCTGGAATCGTCAGTAAGTTAAATAAAATATTATTATTATTATTATTATTATTATTATAAATTTTCCAGGAGATAATTAAAAAAAAAAAAAAAACTGGAATGTAAAAAAAAAAAAAAATAATTGAAAATTAATTTAATTTTCGAATGGAAAAAAAAAATAAAAAAACGACAGGATAATTTTTTCTCCAGTAAAAATAATTATAAAACATTTTTTTTCCAGTTTTTTTTTCCAGTTTTTTCCCTTGATAAAACCATTTTTAGTTAAGTTTTTATTTTAAAAAAAAAAAAAAAAAAAGCTTTTAGTTTTTAAATAAAGCAGAAGAAAAAAAAAATTTTTTTTTTGTAAGTTGTTAGTATTTAAACTTAACTTCCTGGAACGTAATTAAGACATCGATTATATGAATTTATTTTTTTATATTTAGCTTATGAGTTTTTACTAATCGCGCGTCATAAAAAAAATTTTTTTTTCTCTCTGCTTTCCCCCCCCCCCATCTCCACGATTGTGTATACGTTTCTTCTGCTTTGTTTCTTCTGTTTATTTATAGCATATTCTATAAAATTTTCTTACCCTTTTAAATTAAAGCGCTATATTTATTTTTAAAGAAAAACATTTAAACCTTAACCTTAATATTAATTCAAATTTTTTTTAGTTTGCTATCGTTTAAATTCGTCACGTCAATTTTTTCCAAAAGGATACGGATAGAGAGAGGGGGAAGGGAAGGGGAGGGGTAGGATGGGTGAAAAATTCAGTCAAAAAAAGGTTAACCGTTTGTTAAAAACCGTTCATTTTTTATTCACGAGAATAAAACTCTTTTAATTTTTTTTTTTTTAAATCCGCGACAGCAAATAAATAAATAAAAAAGAAGGAGTAGGAGGAGGAGAAAGAGGAGGAAGATGAGAAGGAGGAGTGAGGGAGGGAGGGAAAAATTTAACGTTATCGCATTATCACTTTCAAAACATTTTTTTTTAACTAATCCTTCTCCAGTTTTATTATGAATAAATCGATTCGTTAAAATTTTTCTTAATTTTTTAATAAATTGATTTTATAACGTGATACTGATAAGTATGTTTGTTTTTTTTCTTATCAGTTATTTTAAAAAAAAAGAATTTTCTTTTTGATAAAAATTTTCCGGGTAAAGGAATCATTTTCGTGAGGTTTTAAATTCAAAAACTGGAAAACTTTCAAAAAAAAAAAAAAAGTTTTGACTTAAAAACACACACACGCAGAAAAATAGTTTTCCCCCTCTCCTCTTCTCCCCTCCCCCTTTTTCCCTGTTTGTTTGTTTGTTTGTTTATATGAAGAAGATATTACGATGATGATGAAAAAATAATTTATTAAAACGTTTTTTTTCTTTTTTTTTCCAGCTCGACACAAATTGAAAAAGCTTTTCATTCCACTTTTAATTATATTGAAACTTTTCAAATTAAAACTTTTACTTTTCTTACCAATGATATTGGGAATAGCATCGTTTAAAAAGCTTTTAGGATTTCTCGCAATCGTCATACCTGGAATGATAGGAGTTTTCAAACTTTGCAAGCCGCAACTTTACAGTTCCAGTTTTGGAAACGGTCACGCTTCTTATTATCAACCACCGAGATACACACCCGCTGGAGTCGGACACGGAAGTCCGCAATATTACAGTCATCACGTTCCCTATAATCCAAGTTCGTCGTACGGACACGGCGGAGATCATCATTACGAAGAATATACCGGATATAGTAATCATTACGAAACGGGTAAATCCGCTTCCGGTTCATCTAACGTCGCATTCAGAGATGATTCGCCACAAGATTTAGCTTATAACGGTTATAGAAATTCTAAGAGTAGTTAAAACAAATTTTTTTTTTATAAATATTTTATTTATTTATTTTATATTCGGATTTATAGTTTTTTTTACTCATTTTGACTATTTATTAAAACGTAATCGCTATAAAATTTACGCTATAAAATAATTTATAGTAAATTTTTTTTGTCTATAAAAAGTAAAAAATGAAATCGAGCGATTTGTCGTACGTATAAATTATTGATTGATTTTTTTTTCGTCTTTTTTTTTGTTGTTCCTATTTATAGCAAAATTTATAGTGTAAAAAAATTAACGATTTACACGCTATAAAAAATTTTTTATACGAATTTTATAGAGAAAAAAAAAAAATTTTTTTTATTTTTTCTTTTACCTCGAGTCGATCGCGAAACGTTTTTAATTTTTTTTTTCCTGGGGGGAGAAAATCCTGGATGGAAAATTCCTTTTCTTATTCCCTCACGGGGGGGTCTCTTTTTTCTTTAATGTTATAGTCTTATATAGTCTATAATAAACTCATTTTTTTTATATATAACAAAAAAAATTAATGGAAAATTTAAAAAAAAAAAAAAAAATTTACATTTTATTTTTCTTTTATTATTTAAAAAAAAGATTTATCGTAGTAATAATAATAATAATAGTAATAATAATAATGATAATAAATTTTTATGTACATTATGTACCATTATCAGTTATCATTTAAATAACAAAGTTGATAATAAATAAAAATATTTATAGACGTAAATAAATCGTGTTATATATATACATAAACTTTTATAAAATCCAAAAATAATTTGTTTTTCGTAAAATTTAACCCCCCCCCCCATAAATTTTTATACAAACAATATTATTATTATTATTATTATTATTACAACGATTCGATATTTTCGATGATAACATTATCAGTAAAAATATATATAATAAATTCGTGTAGGTGTATTCATAAATAAAAAAAAAAAAAAAAACATTTCAATAAAATTTAATGTAAGATCGTTTGTTATACACACAAAAAAAAACTTTTTATCATTATTATTATTATTATTACTATATTGATCCAAAAAAATAAATAAATAAATTTTATTTTTTCAATAATAATAATAATAAATAAATAAATAAATAAACGTGAGAATGAGTTCGTAAGGTCGCAGGTCGATAAACCGCGCGGAGTTAAATTCGATACATAAAAAAAAAAAAATTAATAAAATAGTATTCATTATTATTAATATTATTATTATTATTTTTATGTATTTATTTATGTATTAATTTTTTTATTATTAATATTAAATGAGGATTTGACACAGTTTTAATGACGAGTTCGGTGTGTGGAGGATAAAAACAAAAAACTTCAGGCTATAAATTTATATATATATATATATATACGTGAGATCAAGGTCAGTGAATTAATTTCATTAAAATAATAATAATGATAATAAAGATGTATTATTATTATTATTATTATTATTATTATTATTATTATTATTATTATTATTATTATTATTATTATTATTAAAGGTTCCAATTGTTTAAAAGGGCGACGCGATTTCACGGTCATTCAAATTTTTTTTTATTTCTCAGGTACGATTTTGTCTCATCAAAAAATAAGAAATAAAAAAAAAAATTGTAGAAGATTTTATCTTGGTAGTTGTTAAAACTAATAATAATAATAATAATAATAATGATAATCATGATGATGATGATGATGATGACAAAGGGGGAAAAAAAAACAAGAAAATTTTTTTTTGTTTTTGTTTACGTTTAGTAGGGAGCACGTGGGCGTGTGAAAAACGTCATTTAAAAAATAAACTGATTGATAATCTTATCGGGAGGATAATGCGGACATATCTGGTTTTGTAATTAAAATGAATAAAAACTACAACTACTAAAACTACTAAAACTTAAATGAAAAAAAGAAATTAAAAGAAGTCGGGCCAGTTTTTTTGGTTTTTTTTGGGGTTAGTTGGACAATTTTATTATTTATATACATTTTTTTTATTTATTTATTTGTAAACAAATTTTTTAATAAATTTAAAAAATTTCACACGCGCGTGCGCGCTCTCTACGTGCGTTTGTTTGCGGAATTGTTTATTTCTCTATGACTTTTTTCGTTTCGTGCCAAAAAAAAAGAAAAAAAAAGAATTTAAAACATTGTTTAATTTAACCTCTCGAAAATCAAATATTTAAAAAATTTATTATTATTAATAATAAATTATAAATGGATCGATAATTTCACTCTCTCTGTCTTTCTCTTTTGTGGGTCAATATTATCCATATGTTAATAATATGTTTTTGCGCGACACAAAAAACGGCGTTCTCCAGACTTCTCCAGAATTTCTCCAGACCACTCCAGACTATTCCAGAATTTCCCTAAATCTATTCAGCTGTTCTTTAGACTTTTCCAGGAGTTCACTAGAATTTCTCAAGACTTCTCCAAAGTTCTCTGCAGTTCTCCAGACTTCTCCAGGGCGTTCGAAGTCCGTTGGTCGACGTTCGGCGTTCTCAAAACTTCTCTAGCAATTTCATTAGACATCTCCAGACGTCTCCAGCAGTTTTCCAGACTTTTCCAGCAGTTCTTTATTTATATATATATATAAATAGAAAGAGGTCAAATGATAAGAGGATTGATAACGCTCATAGGTGAGTGTGTAAGATTGGATTAACAAACGTTTTAAATTCATTAAATTTTTTTTTCTTGTTTTTTACTTTTTTTCCAGTTTTTTTTTTTTGGTTTTTTCGAAAATTTTAAAATTTTATTTACATTGATTCGATTACGGATATTTATATATATACGAAATTTATAGCGCTACATATATAGCTATAGCGCTATAAATTTTTTTTTTTTCGAATCACACCGAACAAAAAAAGAAAAAAAAGAAAAAAGTTTAAATGAAATAATAAAAAAAAGTTTAAACGATTTCAATTCTCCATCTTAAATCGAATCGAATACGACGACGATAGTAATAATAATAACAATAATAATATCGGTTACAAGTTAAAATCGAAAAAAACGGGAAACGTAAACGCGAAAAAAAAAATTTTTACAAACGGATAATGACGTCATAAAAATTTTTTTTTAAATTTTTTTTTTTTAAACCTTTCGGTAATAATAATCCATTTTTTTTTCGGTAACGGAAAAGCAGAAGGCGTTTATTTTTTTTCTGTAACAGAAAAGCAGAAGACGTTTATTTTTTTTTTGTTACGGAAAAGCAGAAGACGTTTATTTTTTTTTGTTACGGAAAAGCAGAAGACGTTTATTTTTTTTTTGTTACGGAAAAGCAGAAGACGTTTATTTTTTTTTTGTTACGGAAAAGCAGAAGACATTCATTTTTTTTCTGAAACGGAAAAGCAGAAGACATTTATTTTTTTTCTGTAACTGAAAAGCAGAAGACGTTTATTTTTATTTTTGTTCAAAAACGGAAAATAAAATTGTTTTTAAATCGAAAGTTTTTATTTAATTACAATTACGGTTTGTTATAATTAACTTTTTTTTTATAAAAAAAATAGAAAAAAAAAATTGTTTCGTCGTTTTTGTTTTGTTTTTAAAGCAAACAAACAAACAAACAAACAAACAAACGAACAAACAAAAGTAATATATATATATATAGACGGTAAACGCATGAGTTAAAATGAATAAAAAAAATTTTTTAAGAACAACAATAAAGCTCCGTAACAAAAAGTTTTTTTTTTCTTTTTTTTTTTTTTTTATTATTTCTAGAAAGTTCTAAATAAAAATTATTCGAAATTAAATTTTAAATTTTTAACGTAAAACAATAATAATAATAATAATAATTTTTCGTCGGCGGAGGGGGGAGTAAGGAGAGGGGGAGAAAGGGGGTAAATTTTGAAATAGCGGATTAAATATTTTAATATAAAAAATAAAAAAATATTTTTTTGTCAACTTATATGGATATTATTATTATTATTATTCTGCTTCCACTTTCTTTTTTGTTAATGACACGTTAAACGGACGTTTTTATTAACGATTATAATATGGTTCGTTTTTACCAAAACGATTATTGTAACAATATAATATAAGTCAGTCGAACGAAATTGTCCGACTAGAATAAAAAACAATGATGATAATGATGATGATAATAATAATCCACCTTGACCTCCAGACATAAAAAAAAAATCAACTTCACAAAGGGAAAGTCGGTCATTCATAATAATGTCAGGTATCAGGTTTTTTTTTTTATTTTTTTTTTTTTTTTATTTAAAAAAATTCAAATTTTTTTTTTCGCCGCAAATTGTAACCGCGCCTAAAAAAATTTTTGTGTTCGAAAAATTCGGCGACATAAGGAAAAAATTTCCTTTTGCTTACGTCATCGGAGAAGGAGGGGGGATAAGTGAAACGGTTAAAGAAATTTGTTTTTTTTTTATTATTACTTACTCGTGATTCTAGTGCCACGAAAACAAACGCACTCACAAGTTTTTTATATATTTTTATACGAATCGGAAATAAAATTGTGAGAAAGTGATTTAGGCTATTTCTCATAACAAACCTTTCCCCCCCTTCCACCCCTCTCTCCTACCGTCACACCGAAACGTGTAAAAAGAAAAAGTGTAATTAACTAATTAAAAATAAAGTCGAAAAACGTTATTTAAAAAATAAAATTCTCCCTTCTTACTTTTTATTACAAAAAAAATTTTTTTCAACTCCCTTCAAAATTCATTCGATAAAAAAATTTTTTTAATATGAAAATCTGGGTTAAAAAATCCGGTTTCGGCTCGATGATAATAATGATGACAACGAGGGAAAGGAAAAAAAACCGCGAGAGGGGAAACAAAAATAATAATAATAATATTTAATAAAAAGAAAAGGAAAGCGTGGAAGAAGAAATGAAAGAAAAAAAAAAGAGAGAGAGAAAGAGAATGTGTGAGTGTGTGTGTGTGTTAAAAGTTAGAAAGTGGACGTTCAGTATAAAATGATAATAATAATAATAATAATAATTATTATTATTATTAATAAAAATAATAAAAAAAAAAAAAATTTTTCCTCAATGTGACGACGACGAAGACGACGAGTTCGAGTCCGA